AGATAGATAGATAGATAGATAGATAGATAGATAGATAGATAGATAGAGACAGAAAAATAAACCAATCACCAGGGTTCAGGTTGTCTGAAGAATGCCTTTTATCTTTTCATAACTGATTAAGTTGGCTATTAGAACCCCTTGCCTTTATGGCTGGGGGTTTACTGATGGCTTATACAGTTGAGATGTAGAAATACAATTTGAAGTTCAGAAGGTCCTGGTTATGGGCAGACATAACTTTTTAAATCTGTAGTCCCATAGTCATAAATTAGAACATTCTTCTAAGACAGCAAGGTGTGTTCCCTTGCCATTAATTGTTGTGCTTGATTGAGTAAGTCATGCACATCCAGACTTGCATATCTGCTCCCTGTAAGTTCCTTACCATCCACAGGCATGCAGGGTTCATAAATGAGCCGGTAGCCTTCAAGGATTCCATTTGGAAAAAGCGGGGGCTCCCAAGACACATTCACAGAAGTTGTGGTGAGTTCACTGAATTTGACAGAGCCTGGGGAACTGGGGGCTTGGAGGAAAGAAAAAATATATAAAATTAGAAGGAAGAGTAGTGCTATATTACATGATCTAAAACAGGTGTATCCCATCTTGGTAAGATTTATGGACTTCAATTCCCAGAATTCCGCAACCAGGCAATTTGGTTGGGGAATTCTGTGCATTGAAATCGACAAATCTTACAGTTGCCAAGGTTGGCCTCCCCTGATCTAAATTGAAGTTGTAATGGCTATCGACCAGGAGTATGAAAAATGAATGATAATCCATTAAGGAAAATGCACTTTCCCCTTGAATACAGCCAGTGTACAGTTTTTTCTGAACAGCCAGTGAAGGGAGGCAAGGTGATCAGGAAGTCAAAATAAATATGGAAGCCAAGTGAATTGTGACAACCACCCAGAGTCGCTGGGAGTTAGGCAGCATATACTGTACATTTAATACATTATTACATTATTAAAACAGAGGAGACTGTAGTTTGGGAAGTCAGTGGAAGAGGAGACATTGAATTATATAACTGTGTTTCAAAGGGCGTCCGAATCTATCAAAGAATATAGGACACTCTTAGTCCTTGCCTCCAAACCCAAATTTTGACAACAGTGTTCCAAGACCTTCCTTTCTATGTGTAGCCATTTTCAGCACAAAAACTTTATGCATCCTGCTGCTTCCTTTGGCTGAACTGCTTGAAGGGGTTGGAAAAATTGGAGGAGACAGAAATCAGGCTGGCGAGAACCTGATTGCTATCTGTAATAATGCTAGGCTGACTTCAGGTGCTGTGGAGCTTCAGCAAATTATCAGGGTAATTTTTTTTTCTTTTTTACAACTGTAGAAGGAAAGAAGGATGAAGTCAAACCCAAATCCAGAAAAGGAACTAATCTTGGATGTCTATTTTGCTAGAATTGTCTAAAATGACTTCTCAGTGCACTAAATCTTTTTTAATCTGCTGGGATTGAATAACTCCCTCTGGCTGGTTTTGAAAAAAAAAAGGATGACAATAAGGTGGTATTGTATTCCTCTTGTTTGGTAATAAATTTACACAGGTGGAGATTGTTTTTCCTTCCTCAACATTGGGCTCTTGGTTGCCTTGACAACCAAGACATTTTACACGTCTGGGTTATCTGGGGAAACATTTAGCTGCTTTTGGCAGGCTTGTGACACTGGTGAGAAAGAATGAATGAAATCACTAAAATAAAAACACACCCTACTGAGACACCTATTTAGAAAGTAGGTCATGAGTCAGATTCCCCAGAAATGTTTAAAAAGGAAGAAAAGAAAATGCAAAACTGACAGTCACAACTGGGATGTGTTTGGAACGTATTGTATTAAACTGTAAACTATTCCTTCCAACTTACTCACTCCTGTGAAAAAGGGAACCATTACATATCCGGAACTTTGGCTTTATGAGAAGGTGTGATTTTTTCATTCTCTATTTTCCTTTTCTTACAAGTGATCACAATCAACCTATTAGGATTGTTCTGAAGATGAATAAGGGCTGTGCCATAAACACGTGTTCCCACAGTTGTTTAAACATCAGCAATGAAGCAGCTATATTAAATGGCTCAACTCGCTTAAGTACATGTGAAGAATTCCCACAACCACAATCAAATCTTCTCTTCCTGGCATCTAACACCTGCAATAACATTGATCCAAATCCTTATTTTCCGTGCACTGTTTTTGTAAAGAAAACTAAATCGCACGCCCACAGTAGCAATTTTTTTGCTCATAGAAAAATATCCAGATAGTGGGCTCTTTGTTTTTCACAAAGACCAAGCAAACAGCTCATTTAGCAAGTCATGGCTCCCCCCCCCACTCAGAAATTAAATTAGCTTGAACTTACTAGCTGTGATCTGCGAAACAGATCCCAGTGCCAACCAATGCTTGAAGGGGGATAAAAAGGAAGAGCCCGGAATGGTTTTATTTGAAATTAGGCTAGATTTAGTTACACTCATTGAGAAGAAGCAAGATGGTTTTTGGTTCTCTTAAAACATATGGCAGAGAGAGAGAAAAAATCCTGCCCATTCTGAACAATAGGCTGATGGATCACAAAACATTTTCTCTCTCCTTCTCTCCTTCTCTCCCTCCCTCTTTTCCCCATGGTGACCTCTGTCTTGCTGCACATTATTGCCTGTCAGGTTTTTCCAACACAAATACCAAGATGAATGAAAAGAAACATATAGATTTTCTACCAAGGAGACCGAAAACAAAATTAACATTCCTTTGTCATTAGTCCATTTTCAAGAAGAATTAATGTCTGAAGTAAGACTTTATACAGCATACAGATGCCAATAAATAACCTGGTTGGTGACCTGATTTAGCTTGGAAAGCAAGTTTATTTATTTATTTTAAAGTCCATTCTTCCTGATTAATTGCACCTTCCTTGATGGTTTGAATTAGCATGTTTTTGTAGCTAAAGGAACACAATTTCTTCCCTGACAGTATTATGATTTTAAGTAACAAAAAAGGCAATATTTTCTTTTTGCAAACAAATGTCTGCCACAAAAGCTGTGAGAGTTATTTTTCATATCAATAAAATAAATGGTTGCCCTAACAATAGAAAATGGGAATCCCAGAACACTTGTTCTCAAGCAAAACCTTTACATAGGGCAAGAAATCATAGCCGGGGTGGAATATGATAAAACAGACTGGCAAAGAAGTGAAATAAAGCGTTAGGCTCCATCGTTATTCAACCTATAGGCATAGTTGCTGGCAGGCAGGTGGTGTGAAAAATTTAATAAGTAAATATTGAAAGAGGATGGATTGAAAGAGCGTGAGTGTGATTTTAAAACTGGAGGAAAAAAATATAATCTGTCCTATGCTGATTACGCTATTCTGATAGCTGGAAATGCAAATGATCTGGAAGCTCCAGTAATGAAAATCGAGGAGCAATGAAAAATGGAACTGTGATTAAATTATAAAGAAGAACAAACAATAACAAGTCCATAAAGAAGCCTTAGAACTGACAGTGAAAATGTTAAAATGATGGATAGCTTCTGCCTTTCAGGATTGACTTTCAACAGTAAAAGATTCAGCAATCAAGCAATGGGCCACAGACCAGTGCTTGGTAGGAGAGCAATGCAGACCTTTTTAGAATTTTAAGCCATGACATGCTGTCCACCTTTTATCTGAGATCACTAAAATTTGTCCTCCTGAAATTCTGTATAGACTTCTTTGAGATTCCCCTGTCTTAGTTCCTCTAGCTGAGTTAATATAGAGTGCTTATGATAGCTTAAAAAAAGGAAGAATAAAAGAACAAAGCTAGATGTGCCATTAAAAACCCATTTATCTATTCATACTTGCTAACAAGGCAACATTAGGCAGCCAAGTTAAAGAACCCTGTAAGAAGGGAAAATAATGACAAGCTGAAAGAGGAACAGGGGAGGCTGAGTGGTGGCAGTGCTAAGAAAACATTCATTATGACATTCAGAACTATAGACAGAGAAACTACTGTATCATAGCCTGAGGCAAAATGCCCTTCTCTTTTCTTCTGGTTCCATTCAAAAGAAATGGAAACAAATTGAATCCAACAGATTGGACTGAAATGGAATCACTGGATGGAGTTTTAGAGCTGAGCAGGGGGGGCTGAAAAAATAAAGAAAAATAAAGGAAAATATCCCTAACACCTCTGGTCAAAATCCATTACTATGGTTCTTCTCATATTCCATTGTGTTTTGCCAAGAATAACCTTAAGGATTCCAGAAAAGGGAAACCAGGAAAGCAGATCCTAGTTCAGGCTCTACTGGCTCCCTCTGGGCAGAGATAACCAAGATACTAGCTTAGGTCCTTAGTGATGCCCTCAGCATAAAAGGGCATTTTATTAGGTCCAGATGCTAGAGCCAAATATGGCTAATAATCCCCTCCTAGTTTTCCTTTTTAAAAAAAGGTATTATTGGCTTTGATATCCAGACATGGAAGCTGAGATTGTTTTGAAATGCATTATCAAACCAGAAGTTGTGTGAGGGGAACAGGTGATACCAACATGCACAAAATAAATGACTTTAAACATGGAGACCAGGGCTTCAGACCACAGACTAATACATGTCTTTTCCCTCAACATCAAGTATAGCCTAAGTAGTATGAATATCCTGCTAGACTTCTTAGAATGCATGTTCTAAAATCCATGGTGGCACAGTGGTTAGAATGCAGTACCGCAGGCTACTTCTGCTGCCTGCCAGCTGCCAGCAGTTCGGCAATTCAAGTCTCACCGGCTCAAGGTTGACTCAACCTTCCATCCTTCCAAGGTGGGTAAAATGAGGACCCAGACTGTTGGGGGAAATATGCCAACTGTAAATCGCTTAGAGAGGGCTGTAAAGCACTGTGAAATGGTATATAAGTCTAAGTGCTATTGCCATTCAGCAGCAGAAGACAGTTTGGTTATCAAACTTCTAGCAGAAAAGGCTCAATTTCTTCAAAAATGACAGGAATTTTGGGGCAGGAGGAAGGGAACTGCAGAACCATGTTGAATATGGTGGCTGCTAATCTGAAATTGAGAGCATGGAGAGGAACTCAGCCTGCACTTTAGAGGAAGATCTATTAGGCAACTTTTAAGATTTATGAACTTCAACTCCTTAACAACTTTTAAGACTTATGATTTCAGCTCCCAGGATTAGCAACAGAATTAGCAACTCTTAAGACTTGTGATTTTAATTTAGTCACTTAATAACTTTTAAGACCTGTGGAAACTGTCTGGGGAATGCTGGGAGTTGAAATCCACAAGTGTGAAAGTTGTCATAGTTGGAAATGCCAGATCTACATAGTGTGCAGAAAAAAACAACTGATCATTTCTGTGATTTTTTTTTCTTTTATAACAGAGAGTCCTTGGCCCCACCATTCTTGAACCAATTACAAAACATCCTTATGTTTTGAGACTAGAATAGATTCCTTTCATCATGGTTCTTTGACCTGGCATTGAAAAGGAACGGCAGAGGTGGGGAACATACTTGTGTCATTTGACACTGGGCAATACTGTGTGCTTTTGTAACAAGAAATAAATAAATTAGGCTGGGAAATTTCAAACTTGAAGCCCATTTGTGAGGGCCGAATAATGAAGCCACAACAATGGTAAGATGAATGAAAGGAGGGCACAGAACATTTTAAAGGAAAATAACAATAACAACATAGCAACTTTTAATCTCTCTGTGTAATTCATGCCACTCGTTTTTAGCCTATCAAATTGCACCATCCAACTGGAGGCAAATATGGGAGATGTTTTGATTAGTCCACCAGCAGAAGGCCCCATCTACTGGCTCATTTATTAATGCAAATCTTTTCCTATTTCCATATTTCTTCCAAGTACAAATTTTCAACCAAAGAGGCCATTGAAATGGCACCATTGCTGTTATTATTATTTTTTTTAGCTGAGTAATCTCCACAATCCATGGAAGCAATTCATGGGATAGATTTTTCCCCCCCACATCCTTTGCCTTTGGCTCCTGTTCTCAGCTTCAGTATTTTACTTTTATCCAAAACAAGGGGAGATGTAATATTTGCAGTCAATCTTCTTTCTTATTTCCAGAGGTTGTCATCTTTTCATGGAATTTCCAATTTTTCTATGCATTTTTATAGCTGATCTTTCACTGCCCAATTCCCTCTCGGAATGATTTTTGAATGCAGTTTTACTAATATATTGGCACAGGTACTTTAAAAGGTTTTTGAACATAGACATATTTGTAATATCATTCTCGAGCTTCCACACTCAGTGGCATTTATTTATTATTTTATAACCACCATGGTGGCATAGTGGTTAGAATGCAGTACCGCAGACTACTTTTGCTGACTGCCGGCTGTCTGCAATTTGGCAGTTTGAATCCCACCAGGCTCAATGTTGACTCAGCCTTCCATCCTTCCAAGATGGGTAAAATGAGGGCCCAGATTGTTGGAACAATATGCTGACTCTGCAAACCACTTAGGGCTGTAAAGGCACTATAAAGTGGTATATACATCTACGTGCTATTGCAATGCAATAACTGATCTTCCCTTGGAATGACCTTTCTTTCAGGGAGGATTTTGTTTTCAAATTACCACATAAACATAGACAAATGCATAGATTGGGCAGAACAGGGATGCTAACATATTTTTTTCTTTCTTCTAGAGGACAGATGAAAATATTTTTCCTAATTCAGAACCAGAAACTGTGACATGGGCAGACTCTATGATCATTCAGCTGTTGAATAGTTTGGAAGCAGATGAGGATGAATTTTATATTCTCTGAAAGCTCTAGACTAGCAAAGTAAAGACATATATATTTATAGATGAATATATATTGCATGTGTATGTGTACGTGTGTATGTATACACACATACACATACCCCTAATGGATGTCACTACTGGTCTGACAGGTACATCTAACTTAAAAATATTCCAGATGTACTTGAACATGTATTGAGAAACAGGTGGGCTGGAGTCTGGAAATCTTCAACAAACCCTCCCTCCCTTCCTGTCTTTAAACAAGCCTTGAAAATCTGGCTCTTCCACTATGCTTTGTGATATGCAGTTGTTGGATGTCTTTTGGCTGGGTTTTGTATAGGGAAGAAGATTTTTATTGTGTTCTGATTGCTTTTCTTCCTGTTCTTTGTTGGTATTTCTTGTCTTCTTTAAAAAGATAGCATGCTGCCCGGAGTCACTACATAAAGTTAGATAACTGCAGAAATGTTTTAGAAATGAACAAACATGACCTACAAGACTACTATGCCCAGTGTTGGGCATAGACCCACTAACTGAGGGATTAATAAAGCAGTAATTGTAGGAGAAGAACTGGGAGAACCTGGGAGTGGAGTTAAAAGAGAGATCAGCCAAGAATCTTTAGCTAGCACAAGCAAACTATGTCCACCCCCCCACCCCCCCATGAATGCTATTGACCCTTATCTGACTTCAAATAGGTGCTAATTGTTAGTTGAGAAGAAGTTAGTTGTGTAGCAATGATCAGTTTAATTGGATCTTCACATATGGACTTGATCTTTTCTGACTATCATTCATCTTCTTACTTAATGGTTAGCACTTGTTTGGAGTTAGATAAGTGACAGCAGAATTAAATAGAATAGAATAGAATAGAATAGAATAGAATAGAATAGAATAGAA